TTTTTATTGTGAAATTTTACGTTTACAGTACTTTCAAATCTTTGTTCCATTTCACAAACTGATTTAAATAACATTGTATTGATAAGTATTTTACTGAGTGACAAGTGGATTTTTAAGCCAAAGATAGGCTTTAACGGGCCGTACACTGCCAACCTGTGATAGACATATCCATAAACAAACAAGCCATTCTTGTGTGTGCAAAACTGGGATATTCATTCGACAATCGAGTTTAGACAAACGGCAAATAAACTCATCCTAGAACAAATACAGCAAAGGGCAACACAATGATTTTGCATTAACGTCGACTCGTTGAGCAAAAACATCATGAACTGCCAGAGAAGGTAAAACTGATGGAATTAAACTTGCTCAGTTTCTAAGCATCCTGTTCGTATGCATTAAACATGAACAACATGAATACTCCAATGAACTGATGAATCAATCATTGTCATCCGATTTCCGGGAAAGTTTTAACATTTAAAAGACTCAAAGCTCGGATAGATGGTGCATTATATTGCTTACCTGTCCGATTTTGTAGACTCTGGAATGCATTAGGGCTTCCCACTTAACCACTTTTAAGAAATGTTTTCATTCCAATAAAATGAAATGCTTTTAAAAGTATACTGAGAGAATACTATTTACCCGTTGATTAAAATGTTAAACCAAATGAATTGGTTGAGTAGATCGAGTATGAAATGGAAAATTAACAAATATTATTATTTTTTTGCTTCATGAATATATAATTTCTTATTAAATAAATTATAAATATTTATTTCTAATTTAATTGTGTATATTTAATTTAATATTTAATTTATTTAACATATCTATATGTAGCGGGTGTTTACCCCTACTTTATAGTAAGCGAACAGTCACTTAATTCATCGTGGGGGCTCGGGTTCCAGTTACGCGCTGCTCAGTCAGAGGCTTTTATGCAACCATAAATGAAAACTACAAAATTCTTTCTATGTTAACAAAACAATAGTATTTATTAAAGAAATGGGGATTACAATGGGGGATTTAAACGGGAACTTAAACTAACCTAACAACTACTCACGTGAGAACAACTTGAAGATAAAACACGATAGGTATAGTTCATTCAGCAACTGTCCATTAATATTAAGTGTTCGATGGTATGCAAACCATAACGAAGGAACAGCGACGTAATAACGAATAAGTCCAAAACAAAGTTATAAAATATAGACGCGAATCCAACTTGAGCAGGAATGACAAATGGCGATTCAAGTCAATCATCAGTCAAGAAATCAAAACGTCAATCCGAGGTAACACCATCAACCATCCGCATGTCTATCAGACATGGGCCTGGGTATTCCTCCAGCATAAATCTCGAAACTTAAAATTAAAATACGCCAGCTACTGAACTTTAGATTACAGGCTAAAACAGTATTGCACTGTATAGCCTCTTTGGATACGGGATAGTGGATTAATATAAATAAATAATATAGAATAAAGGTACTTAAGATTAACTAAAAAAATATACAAAAATGCACCCTACTTCATCTATATATACATTTTAAAAATGTAAAATTCAATAATGTATTCATTTCATAACTAATTCAATTAGGTATAACTAATTTAATATTTAAGTTTTTATTAGCATCTGCAGCATTTAATTTATAGACTTAATGTTATAATAAATAATGCAGCACTTTAGTTATTTATGTTAACTGTATCTGTGTCATTTATATTATTTGTATTATATTAGTAGCCATTAATTAGCTTTTGTGCTTTCCTGTCAGCTAATGAATGGCATTTTAAAAATAATATAGGCCTACGGGTTGGGTCCTATAACCTTCGTGTCAGGCCTTATTAGGAACGCCGGGCCTCTCCACAGAGAAAGCAACGGCTCACATAATAGAGCAATTTATAGGCGGATCCCTTACCCCTATCACTCCCCCCTCCCCACTTCCCACCTTACATTTTTTTTTATTGATAAAATGGAGGGGAAAAAATCCAGATAATGAAACCTACGTGCGATAGTGTCATTTCCAGTCATCTAGGTCACATAGCCCCCTCTATTTCGAATCCCTGGATTCAGAAATGCAATGTAGCGTGACGAACGGATTTGATAAAAATTAATCAGGTCATTTCTGAGCTTCTTGTGAATGGCGTGGTTGATTTGAACGGGCTTTAGGTACCAATTACAATAATGGTAAGATCATCGTAGGTTATAGGCCTAAGAGCGATTAACGATACGTTTATTAGACCCGTAGGCCTATACCAAGTGGCTATACCACCATAGCAGGAAAAGTCTGTTTTTCTCCGGTGTTAATATGAAGGTTATATTTATAATAGATATTTTGCAGAAACACACAGGTCAAATTTTGGTTGCCATCATTTACGGGACACCTTTTGTATGGGACGCCATTACTGACTGGAGTGTATTTATTTCACAATAATATCATACATTTTATATATGCCCATATACCATTTTATATACAACTATGACGACTATCGTGGAATTAACGCTTAGGCTACCCTTAAAGATATTGATATTCGTATGGAGGCAGGGATGCTCTCGTAAAGACCACAGATTTGAAGATCATAGGTTTATATTTAATTTAAAAGCATTCCCGCAACTAGGAATGTGGAAGGAAATATTCTTATGTAGCCTTCTTGGACTTCTGTAATGCATTCGACACCGTTATGGAGACTCCTTGAAACTGCTTGGAAAATTTGTACAAGGGGCCCTTTTTGGATGCTATGCCTACTTTGTAGTTGCTACAAAGATGTTGAAAGAAAAGTGCACTTTGGAGATATTGAAACTGATATTTTGAAGGAGTTAAACAAGTTTGTGTACTTTTACTGATACTCAACATATTTATATATTAATGAATTAGCAAATCGTCTTAAGAAAAATGAACAGGTTAAAAATAGCGGCTTCCAAATCGGAAATATATTTTTTGGCGGACGACGTCGCTTTGATGAAAATGAACTGCAACGTTATGTTAGTGATGTTTATAAATTAAGATTTAATTACGAAAAATCTGCAGTTATTGTTAGGCCTATAGGTAGGAGAACAACTAACAAAAAAGATTTTGGATGCTAGGAGATGGCCAAGTAACAACAAATACTTGTTTCCCGTCCGGGGTTTTTCAAAAAGTTGGTGAGGGAGGCACTTGTTATTTGTTATTTGTTATTTTTGTACGCGTGTCAAAAAATACTTAAATACGCGTCCTGTCTTGATAGTAGTGCATACAGTCGCACACATGAAGAGTCGTACAGTAAAGCATCCAGAGGACATGACAACAAATATAAAAACACAAGGTATAGTATGAAATTCATTTATTTTTTTTTATTGAAAAAAAAAATCAAAAAAAAAAAATCAAAAATACCCTAATATATATATTGTATAGTAACTGTTAATCTGATTTGCTTGTGTTTTCTGTTTTCAGGCATTTTTGGTTTTAGGCAAGATATCACATCACAAGACAAGTATATTATTTAAATTAATCATTGGATCATAAGATACAACCAGTACCTACAGATTTAGACAGATTAACGCCAGTATTTAGCCATGTTATATAAGCCAATAATTGTTTACATTATAATTAATAATAATCAGCTATTTTCATTGTACACTATATTTGTTCGATAAAAAAATAATGTATTCTTGATTCCTGTCATTCCTATATTGCAAACATTCACGTCATAATAATAAAAAAAAACACTATCCATATTTGGTATTCTTATTCTTGGCACTGTTTTTAAGGTTTCAGTATCTGGGATAGCTATCCTGTGCCTCCTTCGAGGTACCAACACTCACTTCAATCTGCAAAAAAATAAAAAAATAAAACATTTGTGACAATTTTGCATTTCATTTCATTTTTTTTGAAAGGTAGAAAGTAAAGTCAAATCCCCAGTGGCACCAAGAGTCCGGGCGATAAGGGGAAAGTGCCCCGGGTCAGACGGGTCTGTGCCGCTAGTTAGCGCTAGGCAAAGAAATAAAAGTCCATGAATCAGAAGACTGTCCTTCAAGTTCAAATAAAGTGTGCAATGCAAGGCTACTTCAGGCGAAATATAATATTCCTGCCTTGATTGATATATGAATGGTCATACGATCGGACTATCCACTCGGAAAATGGGCATGTGGCTCTTAATGGTGAGCAGGAGTTGACGTAAGGATTTTTCGACGTAGGCCTACGAGCCTAGGCCTATGTAGCCTAGCCTAGGCCTAAATCATCGCGTCTATATTGACTGAACAAAAAGATCGGCCTGTACGATGTTTTAAGCTCTATAAATATGTTCATATAGGCCTAGTCGGTTTGTAACAAATCTGCCTTTCGGAGAATTCTGAAGAACGTTTTAAGTTTACTACCTATTCCAAATATAGTCAGGTTTCCTATATAATAATTAATAATATAGGCATGGCCCTAGGCGGCCTAGTAGTAGTAGGCCTACGTTAGGCCTAGCCTAAGTACTATTACTACTAGGCCAGAAGTAACTCACCATTTCATTGTCGTACATAACTGCTCCTCTGCTGAGTTTATAGCACCATAGAATCGTTCATTAAACAATGGTCATCGCTTTCTTCAAATGTTTTGTCCCACAAACATCGGAGAACTGCATTAGAGTCGGTTCGACTTAATTGTCAACATTTTCACATGTTTAGAAATCGTTTGTTTTTCTGTCACGCTGTCTCTAGATAGCCTCGTTTTCAGTAGCGGTTACGATTGCTTCCGTGCGAAATTGCGTTTGTAAACTTCGAAACGCGTCAAAATCGACCTATAGTAACCACACAATTTTCGTGCTTGAGCGGTTTTTTGCGTTGCTTGAGCCTAGAAAATGCGTCATATATCGTTATTTCGCGTTTTCAGACTACCAAAAACACCAAAAAACGAAATTTCGAAAAATAACAAATAACAAAAAAATCGAGGCGGGCCCAAAAATCGACGCGCGCGGGGACGGGTAACGAGCAATTTTTGTCACTTGGCCTTATAGCGATGCCATAAAGCACGGAGAGAAAATTCTTCACAAATCAGAGTAGTGCCTTAGCTGTTATTAAGCAAATAACTTTTTTTTGCTGCTTGATTTTACTTATGGCACCGGGCGCTAGCGGGC